CAGATGTCCCCTTCAGAGAATAACTGTGATTACAAATTCATGGTTTAATGTTTTGTTATTGGTAGTGAGTCACCATTAAGCATTTGTTGCATGCTAATAATTTATTACGTTTGTTTCCTATACTATAGACTTTTGCTGAAAATTTCAATTATATGCCTAAAGGTTTTGATCCTTTATGGTAGAGCCTCAGTCAGAATACAGTATAACACAAAACTAAATCCAGTCTTACTCTGAGCACCTTTTTCTCTAGCTCTTCACCAATCAATGAGAGTGATGCCACACACAAATCTGAAAATGTCCCAGCTATTTTTGGTAAAGTCAAAACGCCCTTAGGGGTAGAACACATCTCTAGGATGCCCTGAAGTGCCAATTAACACCTAAAATATTTTGACTTTATTCTGTAATCTAAAAAGGACTCATAATGGAGTCTTCAGAATAGAGTTGTACTTCAGATTATTCATTTCATTATAAAGATGCTATTATCCTCTTTTTCTAAGTATTTGTAAAAGGAGCACAACATGATATCAAAGAACTTGTGAGTGTTGGCCTCTTTCAGATGTGTTAGGTAGTTATTGGTTACCAGGTGAAATAGCATAGCCAGTGTTTCTGTATCAACTCTTCTCATGAAGGAACAACAGGACTAAAATTTTCCCCACCTTCAGAAACCATTCCTATTCCTACCCTCCGTCTCACAGTTAGAAAGGGGGAAGCAGGGTAGAAAAAATAGATTAGCATTACCCTTTTGATCCTCACTGCTAATTCCATCCATTTCTTCTCCTCTATAAAAGGCAATGTCTTTCTTCCTATTCCATGATCTGAATGTATACAATTCAGTCACTTCCATTTGGGCGGGTTTCTTCCTCTCCATCAGTGGCCCCTTTCAGATTGAGTTACTTCAACGTCAGGCGAATAAACGTGCTAACATCTGGCCCTGTAATTCCTCAGCCCCTTCAATTATCATACCACTTCCACTTAACTATGGCTGGCCATCTCAGAAGGTTGCCATAAACTTTCAGGGTCTCAAAACTTCTAAGAACAACCTCCATCCCTGCCATCTCTTTCATCCTACCCTGTAAGTGAACTTATTCTATCCTCTTATAGTAAGTTTCTAGATTCCTCTATGTTCTAACAATCAATTGTCTCACTTAGATTCCTTACCTAATGAGAACCATATCACCACAGTTTGATCTAGGGACACACACCAAAAAATAAAGCCAGAAGTATTTCCCTCGACTACCCCTTAATACTTTGCCACCTTGAAATCCTCACATTAGAGTTGTAGGGCTTATTGTGGGAAAAAGACTGATGCAGCATTTATTCATTTTTCCATTCCAACATTGGATATCTGCTTCTTTGTGCTTGACATAACTCTCTTGGATAAACTTAACCCATGACAAGATTTTTTTTTTTTTTTTGATTTATAAACTGGCTCCTTAGACATGGAGAGGATCAACTGTAGATTGATTTATGCCAGCACAAGACAGTTTCAAAGCCAACAATCCTCAAAGGGAAGGGAAATAAGAAATCTATGGAAGAGCAACCAAAGACAAATTTTTCTCTTAGGGCCAGTTGCCTTGTAGCTAACCTTACTCTAGGACTTTTGGAACTCCAGGTAAAAAGTGAAATGGAAACAAACTCTTATTCACTCAGCAGAAACTTGCTTTATTCAATGTTAAGTGCAGAATACTTTCAAAATATCTATCAGATAATAAAGCATTTTTTCTGAGCACAGAGTTCATGGGCATTTTTTAAGGTGACCATTTCCTTCTGTAGGATGATGACAAGAATTGGATTGTGCAAGCATAAGGACAGAACGAGACAGAAGGTCCAAATTGATCCAGAGCTTCAGTCCGTTCCTTAAGAGGACTGTACTATTGCAGATCCTCAGTCAGCTTCAGTCTTCACCTGTGATCCGGTAGCCTTTCTCATGTAAGACTGATAATTACATTAAGCACATATGTCACTTTTATAGTGCTATTTAGTTTTCACTCCCCAAGCCAGGCCTCAGGTGGTTGTCCTTGAGGAGGCTTTACCCCTGAGTCACTCTGGGGTAATCTGCCTCATTCCATGCTTGATGGGAACCTATAACTAAATTCTAAAAGCACTAGGAAAATGGGAGGGAAAACTGGAATCAATGAGTGTTAAAACTGAAAGGACTCCTAGAGTTAACCCAATTCGAAACCTCCCATCCCAATTTTACAAATGAAAAACTAAAAGAAGTTGATGTGATGCTTTATGAAATGCAGTCTGGGAACTAGAAAAAATAGTTTGAGGACCTACTATGGCACGTTTTCTTAGGAAATGGGAGATCTGTTAGGTTTCTTTACAAATCTGTTATTTTTCTCAATTGAAACTGAAGCCAGGAACGGAATCTACTAGGATGTTGAGAGGGAAAATAATATTGTTTTTTTCATTTGTCCTTCAACCACTTTTGATCAATTGAATGCTTATCAATTACATGGACATGGGAGAATAACTAAAACCAAGGATTAAGGTAGATGAGATATTAACAGATCAGGACCCAGGAGACCCTAATGGATCTCCTGATACCTCACAGAGGCAGAGTCTGACAGCTCAAGTCAATGGCAGAAGGAAGACTTAATCAGATTTTCAGAAACTAACTCCTATAGCATAGTCCCAGAAACACCAAAACTCATGGAGTGGAGCCACAAGTCCTATCAAGAGACCCAAGGTCAAAAACTGGGAGCTTGAGACTGGCAGAAAAAATGTGAGAATGGCAGGAATCAAATCTATACACACGCCAAAGTGAAGACAAGAAAAGAGTTTTTCAGTTCACTGGGAAAGTATGGGGGACACACAAAGAGACAGATGCTCATATGTAGATATGTCATACCACGTGTCAACCTTACTGTGTATAGGAGAGAGACCTTGGGTCAAGTACCAGCTCTGGAACCAAACTAAGCTGAGCCTCATCTATCTGTGACAAAGCAAGTGGAAATCGGAAATTCAAAAGGTAGAAGCAAAATACCAAAGTGAAATTTGGAGAAAATACAAAGTACATACATAGCATACATACATAGCATTCTAAAATGTTATTATTTATATACAACTTTAGGGTCCATAGAAATATCAGAAAAATATTTATGGACCATGCTTCTCGTGAGGCTCAAGAAACTCTGTTGCCTAAAGAAATGTTATTATTACAAGGTTCTTTCATAAAAGAGTGTGGTGTCCCGTAAGTTTGGGGAACACTGGGAATGACGCAGTTAAATATATTCCTGCTCTATAGAATGTCTCCATTGATGCATCTGAACACATCATGACCTTGGACCCAATATACTTCCCTCTCAAGTGTTTCCTCTGGCCCCCAAATTTTAGTCACAACAAAAACTGCATGAAAGGATGTAGATCTGTATTCACAATTTATCCAGTTGGAACAACCACTTTGAGCACACATTCACTATTATCAACCTGTCTGTATCTGCAGCACCCCCTTTTCATGGAAGAGTGCACATTTAAAATATGGTCCTACGAACTCTTTTGGACACACATCTTCATTCAGCATTCTTTGCATCCATGTAATACCAGAGCAGTGAGCTGCCACATATCATATAATTTACAAATACAATATAGTGAAAGAATACAGAAAAGCAGATTTTCAAATAGAGCTTTGTACAGCTGTGATTCGAGAATGCTCAAGTAATCTCATGAGTTTCCAGCTCACATACCAGAGTTTCTACAAAATATTTGAAACCTATCCCAAGTTAACTCTTACAATCACCTCATTTTTCTAGACACTTATGTCAAAACAAATCAAGTGCTTCCTTACAACCAGCATTTGCTTGTTCACAGTGGGGCAACCGATTGCATTCATTGATTCAGCCTCTTGCCTCTTTTCTCCTAAATTCTTTTTCACTATTGTTAACATGAGTGAGATTGTGGAATTTGAAGGCTGTCTCTATACACAAAGAAGTAACAAGGAGTGTTCTATATTATCTTTAGAACATTTTCCGGAACTTTAGTTATTTATTTAACTTGATTTAATCAGGCAGCTTGTTTACCTTTGGCTATTCATTTCTGACAAATTCTACAGTAAAAAAGAAAATCGCCTAAATTCAGTTAATTACTTTTTCGGCGAGGGAAAAGAGATACATCTTCGAATGACAATTTGCCTGAAGCCCATCATTTCTCTTCCTGGCATCTGAGTGTCAAGGCTTTTCCTTTTTTCGCTATGATCTTAATCAGATATACTACCCACTGCTCCTTAATTATACAATGTGGACAAGAGAAACTAGACAGAGTATTCCCAACTAATGTTTTAAGCCAAGGCATTCATAATATGAATCCTTATTGTATTATACTAATTTCCAACAGAATAATTAAATTACATATTTCAAAGAAAATCTAAAACAAGCTTATTAACATTGTGATGTCCAGTTCACATTTGGATTGGAAAATATGATTTCAGTGTCTCAAAGCATACGCCACATTATCTCATGCTCCATGTATAAATAGTAAGCATGATTATATTTGAGCCTGCAAAAGCTGTTGGGAAAACAAAAGAGGGGGAGAGGGGGAAAGGGGGAAAGAGGGAGAGTGGGAGAGGGGAAGGGGAAGGAGAGGGGGAGAGGGGGAAAGGGGGAGAGGGAAAGGGGAAGTAGGGGGGGAGAGGGGGAGAAGGGGGAGAAGGAGAGAAGCGGAGGGGGAGAGGGGAAAAAATTAAGAGAAAATTTTACAAATGTAACTGTTATAGCCATGGTTATACAGTCCTGAAGCAAAGTTGAAAAGAGTGTAACGAAATGACTGCTGCACTTGGTTTAAGTCCAAGACATAGTGAGCAATCTCGCAAATAACATTTTAAATGTATTTGTTCCAAAGCGAGGAAAACATTACCCAAAGAACTATAAGGAAAACAAGTTCACTTAAGGGCAAAAATACTTAAACTTTTAATCAGAAAGGATTCCTAGTACCAGAAAAAGAATAATAAAGTTCATCATTGGCTAATTCATGTTCATACAACCAGCAATGACTGCACCTACCTCATCCTGCCGAGTTTCAAAAGCATCCTTTGGCAAAATGGCAGGCTTCTGGTCTAGTCTACAAAATACAAATAAAAATTATTTCAATTTAAAAAAATTCTTGAACAAGGCATATTTGAAGCTGGCAGCTACAGATCTAGTTGTACCCCTCGTAAAAACCTTCATTGGTGTCCCACTGTTCCTAGAATAAAATCCAGACTTTACAATGGTCTGCAACACATTACAGTGTTTGGATCCTGACCGCCTTCCTGGCCCCACCTTCTTTCTCTCTCACCCTTGTCACCTACACTCCATCTGCCCTGGCTTTCTGTTTCAACACATAATGCTCGTTGCCTGGTCAAACCTTCACATTTGCTGTTCTAGACAGCTCTTCCACCATGTCTTCATAAAGCTGACTCTTCTCTGCATGTAAGCATCAGCTTAGCTCCCCGTAAAGAGGCCTTCCTGATCTTCCTAACTATAAGTAACCATCTTCTTCACTCTCCATCACACTGTCTTTAGATTTTCTTCTGAGTGCTTATCACTATCAGAAATTATATTGTTTATTTACATTTCCACATTAAAATGTAAGCTCCAAGAAATCCACCGATTATATCCATTTTCTACATTGCTAAACCCTCAGTTAAAATTCAGTATTTTTTTCATTCATCCAAAAAAAAAGCTTTTTTGAATGAATGAATGTGATCTGATACACTGGTTATATAATGACGCCATTTGTTCACTGAAGAGAGCTTTTGAAATTTCATCCTCTTAACTAACACAATAAATGTTATAGCAATTGCTGGATAACGTGGTGAAGCTGGCTTTGCCACTATAGAGATCCCAACAGAACAAAAAAAACTTAAAAAAGGCAAATCTACTCCAAATCATTTTTTTAGTTTAAAAACAAAAACAACAACCAAAAACTCCGTTACTGGCAGATGATTTGTCAAATGCTGTGGTCCAATGGCATCTATTACATAACATTCAAGTTTTTCTGCAGCAGTTTGCAGGCCATTATATAATAAACATATTCAATTATAGTTATTATCCTTATAAAAAGGCCTGCTATCTTAATAGATAAAAGATTTAGTCAGCGTTAAGTCATTTATAAAAAGATTTATTTTGGGACATAATTATTTACAGTTATTATCTGCCTCGATTTGAACTCTGAAGAAAGCATACATGTCCTTTGAATGGTCAACAAGATTAATGATTTCTAAAAGTCAGGATGCACATTTAGAAATGCCACGAGCCTCACTTCAAAATATTCTTAAGAATGCAGAGTTCTTTCAGACCACAGGCACTGCTGACTATACAATTTATTTCTAATGAGAAAAATAAGGAGATGGTAAAATAAAATTGTGAAGGTCACACTGATGTCTATCATCTCTGCACAAGCCAGCATGTCCCTCCTTCTCCCCTCCCCCACCCCTGGGTGTGAGAAGAGGCTGCGTCCCAACCATGAGCTCAGGCAGAGATCATTCAAGTGAAGAAAAAAATAAAGTAAGGAAGAAAACCGCGGGCACACCCACCCTATGCCCATCAAGTCCCTGAGCCACAAATGCAGTGATTTCAGGGCTGCAGAAAATAAAAAGCAGCTCTTTATCGAAAAATGGGAGAAACCCTCTTGAGAATAGGAATTAACCCCTCCTATCCAATAACATCTAAATCTCTGAATGGCTCATAATTTCTTTATATCTTACAGTGGTTCTCAAATTGTGTTCCTGTAGTTATGGTAGCACCAGAAAAATGGAAGAGCAGTGTTCTTTAATGGAAAGAATACTTACCAGTTTTCAACTATAAATTTCCCTAAGGCTTTGATACCAGCAGACGGTAAAACAAATACACAAGTAGCAAACATTAACAGAAGAAAGCAGATTCAGACTTGGTTTTAAAATATAGTATATATTATTGAGATGCACGGAACAGCCAACAAGTAATATACTCACATGATCTTCCAGGAAAATTAATCACGATCTCCAGATAAACCTCCAGATCAAGTTAGAAAACTGTGGTCTAAGTATCAAAGGTGCCTGAATTTAATAATTATCCGAATATCTCCTATGTGCCTGGTACAGTGTTGGGGAGATAAAGGCAGTATCTATGCCTTTAGGAGGCTTACAATCCAGTAAGCCTCTGTTTATCTTAAACAGAGGATAAAACTAATTAACACCCAGCCTTGATGTTATTTCAGTTAGTCAAGGATCAGCACACAGGAGCTGATATTAGAATGGCGGAGAGGAACTGGGGAGGCAGAGATAGAACAGAGAGACATTTTCAAAAACAAAAACGATCAAGAGGTCTTGGGTGTGGATTCAAAGTATAGAACGAAAGAGAGGGGATAATCAAAATTATTCCAAAGTTTTGAGCCTATGTGACAAGAAAAATGACAGGTGATTTTTCTATTGGAGATAGAAAAATGTGTAATTTTGGCGAGGAGGGGAAGAGCAGGCAATTCACGAATTTAGATTTGGATGTTCGAAGCTTGAGGCTAGGCTAAAATAGGGAAGTGAAAAGATCTGAGCAGGGCCCACCCCAGAAAGGGAGATCTACTGTATGTTCAGCTGAGGGAGAGTGGTGACCATAACAGTGATACACGGTGGTCACAGGTTCTGCAGTTTTTTTCCCCCCTCATTGTGTGGTGGAAGCCTCGCATGGTGCTAGCCATATGGTAAACACGCAGTATGTGTCTTTCGGATGAATTGATAAATAAAGAGACAGAGAAAACCAGACCCAAGAAGGGCTTCTCGATCTACCGCTTACTGGGGATGTGTATGCCCACAGACAAGATATTAACCTCTCTAAGTCTTGGTTTCCTCATCTGTAAAGTGTAGATAAAAACAGTTACTTCATAGGATAATTCATGATGTGAAGGATAGTTCATGAAAAATGCTTTTTACTACTGTTAGCTATAACTAAAAATAACACATGGATTCTATAATCATATCTAAAAATAATACCATAATATAATTACATAATGATGATAATTAATGTATGCTTTATTATTAATAATAATTAAAGCCTTATGAATAAATAAGTTGAAAGAGATAAAAGCTAGGACATCCTTAATCAAGGCCAATAAGCAGGTCTCTGAAACTGGCCAGGTAAGGTGCAGAAGAAAGAAAATGAAAATATAACTAGAGAGGTAAAAAGCTAAGCAGAATAGCACCCTAAATACACAAGTGAAAGAAGTCACAGAAAAGAAGAACGTCAAGAAGAACCTAACAATTCGCCAGCCCTTATTGTGACAAGCTGGACTGCAAGATAGTTTACTTATCTCATTTCATCTTCATGGTAACTATGAGATTAGCCTTATTATAATAATTGGCCATAATAGGGGACAGTTAGGGCAATTAAATAACTTCACCCATTCATTAAACAATTATTAAGCACCAACTCTGTGCCAGGTGCTATTGCAGGTGTTGAGAATAAAACAGTGAATAAAACAAAGTCTTTACCCTCATGGAACTTATTTATTCTTGAAGGAGAGAAAACTCAGAGAAATAAACCAGTGATCTACGGTGCAACAGATGCTAAGTAAAACGGAGGAAGAACAAGAAAGAAAGGCAAGGAGAATAGGACGTGCAGCCAGACTGTCCAAACTCACTCACACTGCTAGGAAATCTCAGGCATCTGGGGATAATGAGAATGAAAACATAGAAATAAGAGGTTACTGGACTGAAAAAGGTAAAGGTCATGGCAGAAGAAGAAACAGAAACAAAAGCTGCTCACTAGAAGAAAAGAGAACTGAAATAGTAGCTAGCTGTCTCAAATTCCTTTCTTTTAAAGATCTTTAAAGATACTACTTGAACCATTTACAATCCTGGCTGGAAGGCGGCCTAAGCACAAAAACTGGGTCACATTGAAACACTCCCTCCACTTCTCTTGCCTCCCTTCACCCGAAACAACAATGAGAAATAGACCAAGCACATCTCTATCAAATGCATGCTTCTGGAGAGAGCGACCAGAAGCCAGTAAGAGCACTCTGCCAGCTTCAATACAGGCCTGCCTCCTGCCCCTCGGGCCCAGGCCCAGGCAATGGGAAACGCAGCCTGGATTCGTCGGAGCCCAATTATGGCTCTCAGTACTGATCAAAGTGCAATGCCTTCAAACAGCACCACCACGACCACCACCACCACAATTATTATTATCACCACCACCATCACTACTATCTCCATTATCACTACCACAAGCATTGCCACCACCATTATTATTACCACCATTATTATCACTCCCATTACCAGCAACACTCACTCAACCCTCTACCTCAATTGCCACCTCCCCATCACCTCTCTATTGCTGCCACATCACCGCCACTACCATCACACCATAACCACATCACCACGACTGCCACCACTATGATATAATTCAAAATAAAATCGCTTTTCAACAGAGAAACATAAAACTGTTTGCTAATATTAAAAGAGCTTCTTCCTGGATTCTGTGACTGCAAAACTATGGATAGCCAATTGAAGTGCAGCTTTTCTAAAAATTTTTGGTGTTCCCACATTGCTGGAACCCTAAAGCATGTGCTGAGCCAGGCTGTAGGGTCGTCCTGCAGTGGCCTTCCCCTGGGAGGTGGACTAGAATTCAAAACAGTACAAAGAACAAAGCATTAAGACATTGGTCTTGGCTAAGAATAACATCAAACCACAGATGTGATGATTTGTGAAGAAACAATATTTTAGCATAAGATTTTTTATTTATACCAAGATTTCAACTATCTATAATTAAATTAGGAGATGAAAGTATTCCCTATCTCAGTGAAAACCTTCTCCCCATCTGCTCAATTGCTTATGGAAGACATCTGAGAGTTATCTGACGCTTGCTCCCCCACAAACCCAAAAGCCAGTTTATTACCATCCTTCAATGTGGTATCCTAAGTAACTTTTGAATCTGTCCTCTCCCCTCCACCTCTGCCACTACCACGTTAGGCCAAGCCACCTTAATCTGTCTTCCGGACTGCCTCCCAGGTCTCCCCACTTCTCCCCCACCCTCCCCAAACCAACCCCACACGACAACCTTGTCGTTATTTTTCACTATCCACTGCACTTACAATAAAGATCAAAATTCTTA